TTGTCATCATTTGATTAACAAATCATGATAAATGCATTTTTCTGTGAACACGTGTAAAGTAATCATTAAGCGCGCGTACACTTTGTGAAAACTTATTCGACCAATCAACCACCTTAAACGAAATCACGTGATGATACTTTCAACACCGAGCATAAAACAACACCTTGTTACTTAACACCAAGTAATTATTAATGCATGCTTAAATCTGACCGGTGTTAAAAATAACACCAATGGTGTAAAAAAAAAATCAATACCATACTGGTGTTAGAAATTTAACACCCTGGTTTTTGCATTAATGCATGCTTAAATCTGACCGGTGTTAAAAATAACATCAATGGTGTTAAACAAATTCAATACCATACTGGTGTTAAAAATTTAACACCCTGGTTTTTGCAGTGTAGTTTTAAGCGACAGAAATAAAGCACAAGGCATGCCTGCAGAGTACTGATACAAACTATGAATGGCCCAAACTGTGTTTCATGTCTCATGGAAGAAAGATAACTTAGATATAACAAATCAAAACTTAGATTCGAAATTTAGAATGACTTACAGTATAAATAAGGGGAAAACAACTTGTCAACAATAATCATGACGAACCAAAATCTGTTATGACTGAGATTGAGCCAATGAACGACATAACCGAATCCGTATATCGATAATTTCAAAGCATAGTTAGAAAATATCAAAACCCTTGGAAAATTATTGTGATTATCAACTTCAGATAAAAGCAATCAATCATGAAATACTTCAATACATTTATGTTCGATGTCGTTGTGTTTGTTTGTTTATTTTTTTCTTTGACAATCAGTGCAGTTAAACGATTGACGAAAATTGTTATTGTAATAAGAAGTCAGTTATTTACTATCCGATTAAAGTTTATGACTCAATAGATAGCTATATAGAATGATAAATAGATAGACAGAAAGATTGATGAAGTAGATAGATAGATAGATAGATAGATAGATGGGTAATAGCTAGGTAATATATGATATGGTAGAAGATAGGGAGAGACCCCAGGGGGTCACTCCCAACATGACTGACTACGCACCCGCGTCCAGAAAAAGCGGCGAAAGGGTGTCTTTTTCAGCTATACCGCGTGTTCCTTAAAAAAAGGGTGATTTTCAAGCACTGATCACACACAAAACAAAAAAGGGTACCTTTTCAGATTCACAGGTTCGGCGTCGTCTACTTTTTTTCTTAAAAAGAGGTGTTTTTCAATCACTGATCGCACAAAAACCAAAAGAAAGGTACCTTTTCAGGAGCACAGGTCGTGCTTTTACTTAAAAAAGGGTCATTTCAGAAAAAGTGCGATACGATATTAAGGACTTTTAGGGTCCATTTCAGATGTTGATGGACACGGGTGGATAGCATTTGTGTATGAGAGTGACCCCCCTGGGGGAGAGACATGAAAGAGAGAAAGAGAGAGAGAGAGAGAGAGAGAGAGAGAGAGAGGGGGGGGGGGGTGTGATACATAAAGCTATGATAGAGAGAGAGGGGGAGTGGGGGAGATGTGGTACAGTCAATCTCATCCTCTTTCGGAGGGTAGGGCTCAGAGCTAGGGGTAGAGGTATGGTCAAGGGTAGGAGGGTGTTAGCCCGTGTTAGGGGTTCATTTAGGAAAAAGTTTTGAAGTAGAATAACAGGTAGGGTTAGGAGTGGGGTTAAGAGGTATTTCAGGGGTAGGGTTAGGGCGTAGGGCTTTCGTATAGGGTTAGGCGGTATTATGTGTACCTGTTAGGGATAGGTTTAAATGTTAGGGCTTGGGTTAGGGTTTGGTGTTAGAAGCCTTTACACGAGATCAGACAGTCGAGACAAACCAAGACTGGAAGACAGTCCGCCAGCAGGTGTTGGGGACTTTTGGGAGCTCGAGCCTAACTTGGGGTTTCTTGCATTTTTTTCTACATGTACCTTTTAAATTAAATTTCGGGGGTAACACCAGTGGCGGATCCAGGAATTTTTTTACCGGGGGGAGAGGGGGGGGGGGGCACAAAATCGCATGGTGTGAAATATATGAAAAACGATGGAGCGAGGCGTCAGCGGCGAGGGAGCGGGGGTGGGTCTGGGAGGAGGTCAGAACCCCCTCATAGAGTAGGAAGCATTGGCAATTTTAGAACCACATTAGGCGTAGTTTGAGGCACTTCACGGAGTAATATGACGTAAAATTGCTTTCTCCTACCCCCTCCAAGAGCAGGGATCTTATGCGATTTGAGAACCATTTTGACGCATCAATGTCCACCGGCACTTCCTGGAAAAAATGAGGTCTTCTGATTGGTTAGAAGTTAGAGAAAAGTGATCTGTCACGTCGCGAGACGTTGTAAACTATATGCTTCGTTGCTGCACAATGCACAAAGATAGTGGTCTGGTACTTCACCGGTAGTACTTGCAAAAATTATCTCGAGTGTATAAACTGTGATGTTATCAGCGGCGTCGCTAGGCTTTTTTCAGTAGGGGGGGGGGGATAGAGGCCACCAATTACCGACAAAATAAGCCACCAATTACTGACAAATATTAATGCCAATGTCCTAATGTCTATAATTTAACCGTATAAACCCGGGCCAGGGACGAAGTTATTTTTCAGTTTTTCCCCTTCCGCGCAGAGAGCAGAAGCTTTGACACCTCATTAAATTATTAGAGAAAGAAGACGACTTTTTGTACCGTTCTCGACTCTTAATTAATACTCTTAATCCTTGTCTGAATTTATTTTCGGCCATCCCGCACGAAGTGCGGAAGCTTTGACGTTTCATTAGATAAAGAAGACGATTCGTTGTATCGTGTCCTTGTCTGAAATCAGCTTCCCCCTCCCGCGCGTTAAGCGCGGAAGCTTTGACGTTTCATTAAATTATTAGAAAAAGAGACGATTCGTTGTACCATTGTATACTCTTAACCCTAATAAGGCCCCCTCCACGATCTTTCTGATTGCTCGGGAACGCATATGGATGGCGCCTCGCCGCTCGCTGACTTTTTTTTTTTCGGGTCTTGCGCAACTTTTAAAAGAATTTTTTTGAAAATCGGACCTACGGTCACAAGGTCACGTGACCTTTTGTTTTTGCATGTCAGCCCGAAAATCGCTCATTTTCGTGATTTGTGTACAAAACATATGGAAAAGTCATTTTTCCTAAAAACAGATCAAACATTGGTTATTGGGTCTTGTTTAAAGTTGATTGGTTGTTTTGGGAGTCAAAATAGTTGAATTGTAGTAAGAAATGAAATAAAACAACAAAAACAATGAAATACATAAGTTAAAAACGATGAAATACATAAGAAATTATCAAAACAAGGGATAACATAAGGAATAAGCTGGCTCTTCCAAATTTTTTCGTCGTATTATTATTCAGAATGGTCTAATAGATATATGTAGTGACAAAAAAATGCTTAAATATGAATAATATATGATTTATGGGTAAAAATATGATTTATATGACTTTATTTGCATAAATTACCATAAATATGCAAATGAGTAAATTTTTCAAAAAAATGAAATTATCATATTATTCTATACACTTCACTTGACATGCGTGCAAATTTTCGCTCTCTCTTCCCTTTTCTTTCTTTGTCCCCTCCTTTTTCTCCTTTCCCCCTTTTCTCTCCTCCGTCTTTCCCCCTGTCCTCCCCTTTCTTTCTTTCCCCTTCCTTTTCTCCTCTCCCCTTTTCTCTCCTCCCTCTTTTGGAAATGAAAATGGATAGCAGACGGTGAATTCAAGTACAGTTCAAAGCAGACCCTATCCATACCCACCCACTCTATTTTACTGTATCCAATCATTGCCTGATAGATTTTCGACCCTCAATATGACTTCAACGTTTTTTGCAGGTGGATTATCAGAACTTACAAAATGTACAGAAAATGAGATTTTAAAGATTCCTGTGTGTTAACATTTTGCGAATGCATTGGTGTCGCTTAGTTTAGGAAAGAAAGGGGACAGCGCCCCCACATCTTAAAACCGTAAGACAGACGAACAAACTTTGGAAAAACATTAATTTATCATGTCAATGAAATGCAAAAGTTAATATATATAAACAATAGAACAAACCAATGGTGAACCAACCAACCAACAATCCAAAACATATTATTGTATCAACATGGTGTATTATCTTTCGTTGGAGTTAAACACAAATCCATCTCCCCGGCTAAATTGCTCAAAAATGTATTTATCTTCGTCTATACACAGAAGGCTTGTTATCGTATTCCTGACTCTTTGTAACCAAAAATACGGGTTTTTGTATATATTAAAAAAAACACTGATAATTTGTGAGGGTTAGTATTCTTTGTAATTCTATTTTGGGTTATTTTTCTCTTTAAATGCTTCTAATTGTAAAACCTTGTGTATCCATCCAGACAAGTTGTGTTTTCAAACAACTGATTTAAAACAGCAATTTTGAAGAAGTTCACAAGGAGTTAATATATTTCATAAATCTTCCAAGACTTATGTTGGGCAGTATTATAACAGACAAGTATTCATGATGGTAAATGCTATTTGGTGAACATTTCCCATTAAATCCGATGGCAAAAGAGAAGGCCTTATGTTTATTAAGTGTGTCCGGACACGGGAAACCCAAACATGTAAGTTAATCATTATCTAATATGTAGCTTATAAGTCTACGGTTCGAGGCATTGAAGAAAAATTAGTCAATCATTTACCAAGTTTATAGGTAAATATTGTCCGTGTTGCAAACTGCAAACCATAAACTCCAGTGGTATGACTTCGAGACATAAGTGCTAATTTAGTGCCAATGTTGAAGAAAAAAAATGGGGTGGGATTAAAAAATACGAGGAAGAAAACAAAATCGGTGCAGTGAGCAAGGGTCACAGAAATCATAATTGAGTTACACTGCATTGTCCCCTCCAAAATCAAAACGGCTAAAACCAATGAAATTATTTTAGAAAAAACCCAAAATAAGAGTAAAACCACCCAAAAGGGACAGGATTAATTTCAGTAACGATGGCATTGTTTAGGCCCTAGTTATATTTTTCTTTTTTCCCCTTCATCTAATATTCTAATTACACCAAAACGGTACAATTGAGGGCGCTGTCTTATTCTACAATGAGAAAAGGCAAAATATGGCGACACAGGTGAGCTATTCGTGATTGTTTATCTGATTTGGAGGTTTAATTGATTGACTTTTGTAGAACTCATGGAGTCAGTATGGGTAACCACAGTGTATAATATTCCTATAGCTGAAATATTCCTTGCATTTTAGATGATATAGGCGGTAACATACCATCATCTTGGGCCTTGTGGAAGACAGTGGCAGCTGTTCGCGTGCAGATACACACCTATCGGATGGCTGGTCCCTCAACTGCCCAGAGCTCGGCGAGAGCAACGCTTCGTGTGTATGTGCTAGCTGCGCGAGCTCGAGCTCTGCCCATCTTCAGTATTTCTTTCCATTGTTTGCCCCATGTCATGGGGCTAACCAATGCTACAGACTTGATAGATATACATGGGCTTTAAATGTTAGATCTACTAATTTTTAATGAGATGAATAATGATAAAGGACAAGAATACATGCGGTATACCGCCCTGCTGACTCCAAATTCAGAAGGTTCAGAAGGATGAATTACAGAAATTGAGGAAGGACATCCCCCTTTTTTAAAATTAAAGCTTGAACTTGAAATTGAACTGTTGAATTGAAGTGTTGGTCTAGGCCTAGATCTAGACTATTTGTTCAACATTTTAAAATAATTCAGATTCACACAAAATTCAAGAGACTAGTTGCAACCATATATAGAATGTATTTGTTTATTGACTTTTTTCCAGGGAATGCCAAACAAAGGAGTGGTCACGGTAAACGTTTTGTGTTTTTAGTGTTTCATTTGTCTCTTTTGCCACTTTGTTGTGAAATCCAAATCTTTCATTAGCATTTATTTTCATGAAAAAATTACAAAAACTAAAATCTGAATGGAGATGAAAGAAAAGAAACTGGTGTTATTTGATACAGGAATTTGATATTTTGTAGAATAAGTTCTGAATTTTTTAGGAAATTTGGGTGTGGAAACTAATGTCTATAAATAAGGCTCTAACTTACTAAATACCATGCTTATGCTTATTTTTTTACATGAAATATTAAAAAGGCTTAGATAATTAAGGTAAATGAAATGAATAGGATTAGTTATTTAGTGGACAAAAAAATGTATTTTCTTTTGGAAATGCCTGTAAATGAATAAAGACTCTTATTTTGTTGATCCTGTATCACTATTTAAGTGTCTCTCTAGCGTGTATTAAAATCACTAATGTTTCCTTGAAATCTAGTCTTCTTCGAATTCTCAAGCATGATACGTCACGTAGCATTGGTGGGATTTTTTAAATATTTTTTTATTTCTACAATGAAATTGTCAAAGTTTACATGTTCAGTGAACTACATAATGTACATTGTATTTAAAAACCTGTACCAGGAAGGTTAAATTCTTGGGTCCAATAAATGAAATTCAGTTTTATTATTTCATGACAGAATTCATTTATTTCACCTACCGTAAAAACATTACTTGTCTAAAGATGTACATGTACGTTCATATACATGTAGAATCCTAGTTATACTCATCACAAATGGTACATGTAGTCACCTTTTAATCTTTATCATTATTATTCACAATTCATTTTTATAACATAGTGAGCTACAAATGTATGTAGAACAAATTTGATTCAGAAAACTTTCATTTGTTACGGTAATCATAACATGTAGTTTAGGCATCTACCAGCATCTACAAAAATTCTATCCGCTCCTATAGAAGTTTTCAAGCCAAGTAATTCTTCACACAGTTAAAATGCTGTCTGCTACCTCAGTTTCAGTTTCATTATGAGAAACAATTGTTACCATAATTGAACGCTTAGGAAAAGAAATAAAAAAGTAACATGTTCATGAAAGTAGTCAAATTGTGTAGAATGTGTGAAAAACATTCCTGAACGCTAATAGAAAAGTGAGATCCTATATTGATTTAAAGGTGAAGTTCAGCCTGATAATTAGCTGGTATAAGGTAGAAAAAAGGCAAGAGAAACAAAGTAGTGAAGTTTTAGCAATGTTTGATTAAAAGTAGGAAATGTTCATTAGTTAAACACATATTGGCAACATTGTGGCGTCTCTTACGAGGTCCTGTCCACTTTGCTCTGTACACAAATATTAAATTTCATTTTCTTAGTAATGGATGACAAAATAGATTTATTTCATACAGGGGTTGTATAGAAACATATTTGCAATCATTGTATTTAGGGTGCAATGGTGCATGTATGATTGAAATACAAAAAAAAAAAAAAAAAAAAAAATTTGGACAGAGAAAATGTGAGGGAAGCTTGCAAGATACGTCACAGAGTTGCCAATTTGTGTTTGATAGATCACAACTTCAAAATTCATAATTCTTATTTTTAATCAGATGTTCAAACATTCACTAACCTGTTCATCTCATTTTTCTGCTTCTATTAAAACTAACTTTATATCAGGATGGACCTCCCCTTTACAGTAAAATTCAGTGTTGATATCAGCATATAAATACCAAGATCTATCATAATTTGAAATAGTACATATCACTACAAATAGTACAACTGTCTAGAGGAGTTATTTCATTTCATACCATTGTCATTGCTCTCATTTATCTTTCTACTCATCACCTTGTGGTTTGACTTGTTAAGACCCTAATCACCCTATATCTGATGAAAATACAACCTTATATCAATGGAGAGGGGAATGTACAGTACATTGTATGTTGATTACAAATACAAAGGTTAACAAATTTTTTCCCTTCCGTAATCGCTCAAAATCAAATTACACCCCATTTTCAGCACCCTCCAAAGTTTTGAGTCAAGAGGAGTCGAATTTTCCGCAGTTACTTACGGTGAGGACATAATATCGCCCTTGTTTTCACGAAGTGACGGTAGTGAGGAAAATCGTTAAGCAAAGTGAATGCAATTTCTTTTTACTACCGTCACTTCGTGAAAACAGCGACGATTTGTGGACCCGATCAGCTCCCTACATGTATAAAGCTGAGGCAATGGGGTTGTGCTTGATTAATGCAAAGTCATTGTGAATATGCATACCCCACATGAGATGTCATCAAGTCAATAGATATATTTTAGGTCAACCCTTCTGATTTTCAAAGTTTTAGAATATGAGTTTTCAGAGAGCTATTACTCTTCAAACAGACACTAAAATGGTATATAATTGATATTGTAATCTATGACTTGTAAGCTTTCTGGTGAAACCTGTATATAACTCATCTATTTCATTTATTACTTCAGACAGGGTCTTTGAATCTTGTTATCACAAGTTGAATATAAAGTATTTTTTTTATCTTCATCTTTGTACAGAAGAGACTTCACAAGGAGTTAATGCAGATTCAGAAAGACCCCCCACCTGGTATCAAAATCAACGAAGAAAAGGCAGCTACTGTTCTCAATACGTAAGTTCTTACAAAGCCGTATCCATTTGCCACTCTCAACCGAGGTTAGGGTAAATGGATACCTGGCAGGAATGAATTCTGTGAAATGCTCAAGCGCCTTAACGGTAGCCATGCCAAAATCAACAAAGAAAAGGCGGCTAGTGTTAATATGTAAGTCCTTATACAAAGCATTCTACGTTTGCCACTCTCAACCCAGGTGAGGGTAAATGGGTACCTGGTAGGAATTCAATCTTTGACATTTTAGAGCGCTTTACTGGCAGCCAAGCTAAAGGTGCCCAGGTAATAATAATGAAGCGCCAGGTGGCAATGTACTAGACATGAGAACTAAACAAGAACCCACTATCAATATTATTATTATTATCCTACTTTGTTTAGTTTATGATTGCCATTGATGTTCATCTTCATTCTAGTTACTCCCATACATCAATGCTATCATTTCTCATGGGCAGCTCTGGTCCCTTTCAATAAAAAGAGTACACTAGGGAAGTTAACAAGAACATTTGGTTGGTTGGTTGGTTGGAAAGTATGGGTATGCTTGTACGTAACAAACAAGAGGACCGATGGCTTTAAGTCCTCTCTGAGGGATTTGGTAACAAGGATTAATGCCTTACTAAAGTAAAGGGCACTAGCGCATAGCCTTGCTTTTCGAACTGGGATCTCTCAGTTACAACACCTCTGCTCTGCCACTGAGCCATAGAGCCTTCCCAATTTAAGGACATCAGAGAGCTTAAGGAATTCTGACCTTCTAATAATCTGAAACAAACATAAAGAAAACTGAATCCTAATGTTATGAAGTTCTATTGATGAGTTAATAAAAATAATTTGTCCCGAAACAAAACTTAAATTAAAAACTAGATGGGTATGTAATATTGTTATGAAAAATGTCTGTTTTCTTGAAGCTAAACTTCATAATGTAGAATTTTTCTGAAAGATTTATCAGATTTTCCATTTCATATCATATTATGTCCCTACTTTTTTACAGATGGCATGTAGATCTAGATGGAGCACCCAACTCAATCTATGCCGGAGAAAAGTTTCAACTTCAATTCAAGTTCAGCAATAAATACCCTTTTGATTCGCCAGAGGTACGTAGTCTAGGGGAGAAAAATCCTGTCTGGCTTTAGCATAAAGCATACAAGAAACTCTCTCTCTCTTGCATTTATTTCCCCATGTATGTTTCTAGCTTTAACTCTTCTCCAGTATTCTTTCTCAATGTAACATTCCCCTTTCACATTTTCTTTGTATTTTCCTCCTTAACCCAATGAGAATGACTCTTTTTAGAACAAAAATGTGCATTATATGTGTGATTCAATCCTAATACTCTTTTACAAGCCAATCACAATATCCACCAATCTTCATGAATGCCACATTGTATGTTTCTGGTGATATCATTAAAAAAGAAGTAAGATTATACCTTTCCTTGTATATTTTGATTGACAAGTTTTAGTGTTGCTATTTATCATGCCAGTTTCTACTTTCATCCCTTTCTGAAACTTACCATGAGTGATGGATATTGACATGTTTACACTACCTCAAACAAAAGTGAAGGCAAAGTTCCCGAAGTCTTCTGCTAAATTTTACATGTTCAGAATTTGTCAAGAATGCAGTTTTAATTTTGCAAGAACTTGATCAAGAACAGAGTGTTGGCTCAGTCAGTAGAGCGTCCGCCTCACAACCGGGAGGTCGTGGGTTCGAACCCCGGTCGCATCATACCAAAAGACGTTAACAGGTGGGAGTTGTTGCTACCTTGTTTGGCGTTCAACAATAAGGGATAGAGCAACGTCGATCTGGCGCTGCTCAGTGGCTGCCGGGCTCATGATCAATTGGGCAAAAAGAATTTCCCTTTCGGTTTAATAAAATTTGGAGTGGACTATTAGGTTATTATTATTATTATTAGATTGGGCAATGAGTGACTTACCTATTTTCCTTTTGAATAATGAACATGGTTCTCAATGAATGACTGTCATACCTTACATACTTTAATGCTACTGTAGTTTCTTTTAGTCTATCTAATGTGTTCAACACACAACCTGTGCCTAGATTTTCTTGCATGTGACATGTACCTATGTTTCTGTCATGTTTAAAGGAAAATCAAAACCCTTCAGTTCAATTCTGGCCATGCCATAAACAATTAATATGATGTGATTTTATTATCTCACCTTTTTATTCATAGGTTGGCTTTAATTATTCGCCATACATGTATGAATTATTTCTCAATTCTCAAGACTAATTGAGTAATCTTTGATATGATAAGTTTCAGGACCTTCCCTAATGAACCTGTCGCTTTACCAATGAGTTTTAGCAGTGGCCTGACATTGGTGACAGTTAATCTAGCTTTTATATCGTCAAAGATGTACGGTTGTAGAGGTAGGGTTGAAAATGGTGTTTTCAGTTATGTTCAGGATAAACTATAAAGCTTAGTTAAAGTTATTCATTTGGTTGGTGTAAGTACTATGAACATGACTGACAAAGAAAGCGGACAAAATATACAGTTCCTCAGGTATACAAAGAAACATCCCTTCACTGCTATTATGTAAAAATGTGTAGAACAGGTGAATATGCATGTGGCTCCTGTTCTACACATTTTTACATAATAGCAGTGAAGGGATGTTCGTTTGTCTACCTGAGGAACTGTATATTTTGTCTGATTTCTTTGTCATTCATGTTCATAGTGAAGACATTATCCGCAAAGCAATAGACACTATGAATATGACTGACAAAGAAAGCGGACAAAATATACAGTTCCTCATGTAGACAAAGGAACATCCCTTCACTGCTATTATGTAAAAATGTGTCACATGCATATTCACCTGTTCTACACATTTTTAAATAATAGCAGTGAAGGGATGTTCCTTTGTCTACCTGAGGAACTGTATATTTTGTCCGCTTTCTTTGTCCGTCATATTCATAGTGAGACCAGTTTACTAACATATGTATGTTTCTTTCCTGGGGACCTAGTGACAAGTTATTCTATTTACCTGTTATCAATGGGTGAACTGCAATAATTGGAATCCTGTTTGCATACATTACTTGTTGTTATGTTGAGCACTCAGCGAGAAAGATTTCAGGTTGTGAGAAACAACCTTTGTTTAAAAAGTATACCTAATATTTGAATATTTTAGTAAACCATTTTATTGTACCTGGAGAATGTTCTTTAGAACCCTTCTTGCTTGACAAAGTAGAAAGTTTGATGTATTTGTGTCTTTGTTATGGCAGGTGGTGTTCATAGGAAGCAACATACCTGTTCATCCACACGTCTACAGCAACGGTCACATATGTCTATCAATACTCACAGAAGACTGGTCCCCTGCCCTCTCTGTACAGTCTGTATGTTTAAGTATAATTAGTATGCTCAGCAGTTGCACAGAAAAGGTTAGTCCACCAGTCTTTGTAGTTGAGTCACTTAGTGAAGCGGAAGAAGGAAAGCTTCTTTTTTTTTATACCATACCCGAACATTTTCATAATCATTTTCTATGATAATTTTACTGATCCAAATGGCTTTTAGCAATATTATATGGACATTGTGTAAAATTCTTTTTGAATTTCAGGCAGAGCATTAAAGACATATACATCCTGTTAATGTTGGAAGTGAAAAATATAATAGATGTATTATATATCAACGGAAAGCTTATGGGCCATAAATTACAGTGAAATTGATTTTATGCCACTTTAGTGTCTGTCAGAGGAGTAACAGCTCTCTGAAAACTCAACATCTAAAGCTTTGAAAATCGGAATTTGTTAATTTAAATACTAGCTATCAACTTGATGCCATCTTCTTTGATATGTGGAGCAGGCATATTCACAATGACTTTGCATTAATTAAGCATGGCTCATGGCCTCAGCTATATAGATGAGCCTATCAGGTCCACATATTGATCCTTGTTGATGTGTTATTTGGAGGGGTGCGGAAAATGAGGCTTTAATTTGTGAAATAGTGAAACGTTTTTTTGTTTGTATTCCTTTATATTTGTATTTTATGTTCATTCAGCTTTCCATTGATGTAAAGTTGTATTTTTATTGGATAGGATCTTTAAACAATAAACTTAAAATAACATGGTGGTGGAAATAATTTGTAAACTTTCTCATTCTATTTTGATGTCAGTTTTGAAGTGTATCATAGTAGAAATATCCCCGATAACTTTTTTGCCGTTAGGTTAAATCAAACTAACTTAGGAAGTGTCAAACCTTACGGATGAAATTGGGTGATAATGTTGGGACTCCTGGGGGGTGTTTCACAAAAACTAAGAACGACTTTAAGTTGGACTTGACTATAACAGGCCATTCATGCCACTGTTTGCGCTCACCATTATGATCTTTATATAATATTTTTCCTTCAATAATGAATTATCAAAAAATGGAAATATTGTAGATTTGTGACCATAATTTGTACGTCCCTTGAGAGACCAATGCCAGTAAATGGTTAGAGGAACTAGTGGCATGAACAGCCTGCCATAGTTAAGTCCAACTTAAAGTCAATCTTAGTCTTTGTGAAACACCCCCTGCCCTTTCTAAGTACTGTAAGTAATGGATATTCTGGATACCAGTATCCTGTGAAAGAGATAATTTTTAGCAATGTCACTGAAAATGATTCTTTCATAAAGCAACACCTAAATACTGTAAAAAGGATCATACACATTTTGATGTTCTCCAATTTTACTTTCCTCCAATAACAGAAAAGACCACCTGATAACAGTTTCTATGTGAAAACATGCAATAAAAGTCCAAAGAAAACAAAATGGTGGTATCATGGTAAGTTCATCTTCCTAATCACTTACATATCTCACCCTTCCTCCTTCATGAGTTTACAGGTATATATAGATGAAACAATGTGTGACTGTATTCCAACTTATGTGCTGCCCCCTATTGGTCTGTGTTTACATTAAGCACAATTTCATTTATCTCTGGCATATTGCAAGACATGTTCATGTGCATTTCTTTGACGAATAGATACATCATTTAGCATTCTGATTGAAATTCATGTATTATTGGCCAAGAAACTGTCTTCTTTTTTAAATCAGCCCCAGTTATGATTGTAAACTCCAATGGACTCGATCAATCAAGTGCCATTCTTAAATGTCTGTACATTGTATTAGATGACAACTTTCATGTCATATTAAGTAACTATCACATTACATGTTAAAGGGAAAGTCCACCCCCAAAATAAGTTTGTTTCGATAGAGGCAGAATAATAAGAAAATCAGGTGAGTGAAAGTTTGAGCAAATTCTGAATGACAATAAGAAAGTTATGAATTATTGAAGTTGTGATCAATCAAATACAAATTGGCAACTCTGTGACTTATTATACGAGCTCTCCTTCATTTGCTTTGTGCATAATATTCCATAAAATCATGTTTTCTTCGTTATTGATGACGGAATATATATTTGTTCCTTGCAGGGGGAGTATAGAAACATATTTGCAATTATTATATTTAGGGTGCATGTATGGTTGAAATTTTTCTTGAGGGAAAATGAAAATTTTAGATTTTTTTAGTACTGAGCAAATGGAAGTTGAGCTCGCATGATACGTCATAGAGTTGCCAATTTGTGTTTGATTGATCACAACTTCAAAAATCCTAACTTCCTTATTTTTAATCGGAATTTACTCAAACTTTCACTGACTTGTTTCTCTCATTTTTCTACTCCTATTAAAACTAACTTAATTTCAGGGTGGACTTTCCCTTTAAGGTCGTCGCAAAGAACAGTTTAAATACCGATAAGGCTACCCTGGTAATTAAGAGATAATTGTTATCATTGATATAAGATAAATCATGCTACAATTTGCATTTGCATCAAGAAAAAGATGTCATATACAGTTGAACATATTTGATTAGAATAATCACAAGAATTTTGTGCAATGCATCAATGACATATTTACACCATTTTACTCCACTTGCCTCATTTCCCCTTCTTCCCTCTGCTACATTTTCCACTAATTTCCACCAATAAAAACATTTGGATGTTTGAGTATATATATATATATATATATATATATATATATATTGTTGTGCAAAGAATCAAAGAAATACCCGGTTGTAATCTACTTGCTGTTCTTCCTCTTGCCCTCCTTGTTTCTTTCAGATGACTCTGTATGACACCAGCAAAGCTTCCATCTTTCACCCGTAGAGATTTCCATCTTGCTCCCCGCTAGGACATCGTCCATCCAGCCCTCTCTCTCTCTCTCTCTCTCTCTTTGCTCATCAGAGGTCAGGACTCCTCAACCGAGGTCAAAGGATACCGGTCCCACCAAGATCAAAGGTTACCGACCCTAGTCAGGTTTGACCTGTCAGTGTTGCTGTTCTAGTTGTCCAAAGAAAAATCGTTCATGCTTCTGATGAAAGGTGTATAATACCCTTTTCAGCAACATGATTCCTCATCCAGGGTCAAAGGTCACAGGCCATACATGTACATCAGGTTTGAGCCGATGATGTTGCTATTCTTTATTTCCATAGAAAACCTCACTTCTTTCTAATGGAAGGTATAAAGATTAAGTACAGGTAGAGGACAAAAGATGAGGATGGCCCTAAGGTTTGAACGGTACATCCTAGTTAAGTGACCGTTGTAAAGGTTTCTGAAGGCTTGCTTGACAGAAATGTTTGTCTCTTAGGCCTTGTGGACCTTCAAAGATTATTCTTGATCTGCTTGTTATAAAAGCAGGACTGTTTATAGATTGACCCCTCCCCCTGCCCGCCCAAAGATGTTCCTCTTCAGGATTTTTGATACATTAAATTTTGCTGCAAATGATGATCGTTATGGATGAGAGGGAAGATGAATCTGTAAAATGCTGTGAATAAAGAAGCAAGTGAAAGAGTTTAATACTCTGAATAAAGTGACTCTTATAATCCCATCCTATGAATTAAAAAAAATAATCACATTTACCATTATTCTTTGTACTTGTTCCACGATGCTTTTTCAAAGTACATGATGCAATTAACAGGTATAATAACTGCACACATAGCCATATACATTGGAAGGTGTTATGTAGTGATAAATTTTAAGTTGTTGCAATTTAGTCGTAAATACAGTAAATAAAGTATATATATATTTATATGAGAGTATGTGTACATATCTGTAGTGTATTTTTTGATGGTTAGAAGGAGATGACTATGGAGGATTTTTTTCTCTCAGAATGTTTAAATGTTAGAACCAGGTGGCCGTTTCCTCAAAACCGTCTCAAGTCTAACTTCTTGGACATCTCATTGAAACGTGTGTTATAAGAATGAAGATGGTTTTGAGAAACCGGCCCCAGAGTGTTGTAGAGGAGAACGATATTCAGGTAATAATCAGAGCACATAGGTACTTTACTATTGCTATGTACTGTATCTCATTTGGATCTTCTTTTCTGTTGTCATATCAGACAACAACTAAATTATTCATACCCTTTGTAAATTCGATGTTTTTTCTGCTTTTTGTAACTCGAGAATGAAAGATGAACTGGTTAAATTAGGGCCTTTTTTTTTCAAATTTGAGACGTAAGCTTCTGCAAGAAACCTAAATCGAGAAAAATCAATTTTTCACATACTTAACAAATTTCAAAACTGGGAATGGGTATGAATAATTTAGATGTTAACTGTACGTGTATCCAATTATGTATATTTAGTTGACATAGGTGATGGAGATATTTGTATGATGCTGATTATGGAGTGCGATGCAACACCAGCACATTTTACCAGGTTGTAGGCATTTTGCACTCATCTCAATACTTAATTTTCTCCGCCCAGATCTTAGATATTTTAAATTGACTGAAATCATGGTTTCCTCCGTGAATTAAAGCCCCACTGCACTACTTATAGAAACTTGCGCCCTCTATATAGCAAACAATGCCTAATCAGTGACTATTGGTCCTCCAGGATCCTTTTTTCTTATGTTAATTGAGAGCTTATTTGATGAGATATCCACCTGGCAGTGACCATGCAGGGAGGTCTAATCCCTCCTGGTCAAACTAGTGTGGTGGGGCTTTAATAGTGAATTGAATTGTCTTAAAAAAACAATTGTCTTAGATTTGCCAATTTATGTGTAGATAACATACTAGTACTAGCCAGGTTGTAGCACACACGATCCAGTGACCATTGCTACATAGTCAAATATCCAACACCTGCCAAATTCTTAGGAGCTTTACCCCAGGATGATACACTATACCTCACCTTACCTTAACCCCTAGAACTAACCTACAAACCCAGTTGCAACCTTATTCCAAAACTAATCCCATATTGTTTATTGTTAGGCTTCCTGGGAGAAGTTTCAATTGTTATTCAGAAATTTTGGCTCGCGCACAGTAGATCGCGTGCTCAATCTTGTAATTGACGAGTCAGAAAAATCTCGGTACCAGCAGGATTTGAAGCTGCCATCAACTGCTTACCAGACAGGGACTCTACCACCAGGCCTTAACTGGTACATGGCATAGTCACGGACTCACGGTGATCTGGAAACAAATACCTCAGCTCTCTTGACTCATTCATCAGTCGGACATTAAGACAATAGCCTTGAATGTTAGGCAAACCAAAATCTTTTTTACACAATTTATCCCATTTCTGTGATGACATAAATCTCAGAGGAAATGTCGTTTGAGCATTTCTTACAGCACCATGCTCCAGTGTGTTTTGTTATGTTGCTTCATGCAGGCTTTTCAGAGCCAGAAGGGTGTTAACTCTGTGTTAAAGTTGCATTGGTTCAGGCCCTTCTGGTTGTATATTCAAGTTGGACCAAATTATTCCAGTTTGTGGTAGGCCTTATTCCAATTAGGCTAATTAGCAAAGGTTGCTCCATGCTCTCTTGTAAAGACTCAATGTACATGTATGATGAATACCTGTAGTTTGAAGAATAAGTCTGTCTTTTTGTTAGTTTCTCTACATAAATCGTGTCTTCGTCTCTATTATGACAGGTAGTTATTCTGGAAAAGTAAGGGTATCAAAACTTTGTAATTTAATTTTAACTTAATGATAAATAACCATAGTGAAGGCATCATTAGAGGGGGGTAGGGGGGGGGGGGGGGTCCTAAATATATTGAAGCTTTTCATGCATATGGAAATTCTTCAACTTATTTGATTTTAACCTATTTTGTATGAAGACTTACAAATTAAACTACTTGCATAATCTTATAATTTGTCAATGCTACTGGTCCATCTAGCTTTTCTTGGCTTTATTGCCGGGAAGAAATGAATTTTGATAAAGAGACTCTTTTTATATTTAGAATGCGTTGGTCTATATAGTGGGGAACTTTGTTATGTTTGCCTACATATTGTTGGCGATATTTTGAACTAACGAATCTGTCATATTACTGTACGGATTCATCGGCTCAAAATATATTCAAGCCGTATGCATCATACATAAAACAAAAGATTGTTTTTTTTTCTGTTGGATGTTCTTCATTTTGATAGACATGTTCACAACTGAATTAGAGATAGTGATTACATGAATTATTGTCAAGATGTTCCTACTCAACTTTCATTATGCTGTTTGAACCTGATTAATTAAAACTACTAAATGCTGATATAAATTATTGCATCATATGAATTATAAATTGCTCATAGAGTACTTTCGTTTTTACATTTTTTTTCCTAGATTTTGTTTTTATATGCAACTCATTAATTCAGATACATATATATTTGTATGTAATTACTGCAGGTAACCTTACTATTTTTATGACTATTTATGTTTCGTTTGTTGTACTTGAATATTTACTTTTTTAAAGTAGCCTTTGTTTCTTACCTAAATTGTATGCAGATTTTTGTTTTCAACTACTAGCTGTGGGTTGACTCATTAAATATACTTTTGTTTTCGTTGGTGAAGTTTAAATGCTGTCTAAGTGAATAATTTCATCTGATTTTTGTTAAAGTAATATGTTCCTTTTTTTTAATACACACTGTTTGATTTAATTTATAATCATGTTACAAGGGCAATTACATGCTTCATGTAATTGAAAGGAAATATTGATCGCATTGTGTGTGTATGTGTGTGTGTCAATGAAAATGTCTGTAATATGTCTAAAATTCTGATACAATGCCATGGACCATGTCCGTGGATTAAAACTATTGAAATGCATATATGAAGCCGTGTAGTGTAACTTTCATTTTTTTAAATCTTGTTTTGGGGGAATTCATTCATTTAACCTACATTTGCAATCTGTTTCAGGGAGAGCTTTTTCGCGATCGGTTGTCAAAAGAGTAAATGCTGGATATGCATCACAGAGAGAGAGAGAGGGGGGGGGGGGTGAGAGGAAGTGATGAGGGAGATAGATGAGAGAGAGAGAGAGAGAGATGAGAGAGAGAGAGAGAGAGAGAAAGAGATCATGGAGATAGATGAGAGGAAGAGATGAGGGAGCGAGAGAAATAGAGATGGATGAGAGAGTTGAAAAAGAAAGAGAAAGAGACATAAGAGAGAGAGAGGGAGAGGAAGAGAGAGAGACGGAAAACTGTTTACTCTTTTTAACTATAAACAAGTATTATCGAAGATTTTCTTTGTACGGCTTCTTGCCACTATTAAGTTTAATAGAAAATAACATTTTAATTTGATTTAATAAAAACATACATTAGTTAACAAAGTAGAGAACTTTTGCAACATCCAAAACAATATTAAACCACTGCACCACTTTTTTTTTTTGTCTCTTCATCTTTAAATTCTTGTTTTTACTGTATTCATGGAATCGTTTCCTTTTAATTTTTAACCATGGCACCCCGGTTGAACTACATGCAAATCCACCGCAAGACTCAGTTTGACCGTGTTGTTGCTATGACGTCAAAGGAAGAGGGCGCCGCGTTCGCAACCCGCCAAAATAATTTTCGTTGCTTCCTTGATATTTCATATATTTCCCGTTAAAACGCTTGCATCGCTTGAGATTTAAACGTAGGACATTCCGCACTATATCCCATTTGCATCATTGTATTCGAAATTCACAATTTGTTGTTGATCTCCCCAGAATATTTGGGGATATACATTTTGAGTCATATATTATCATCGTTCATTCAAAGATATGCAAGTAGGTGTCGACTTGAAAGAGGGGGGGGGGGGGGTGGGGGGGGGGGTCTTATACCCCGACGCCTTCGTCACTATAGCCCTTCCCCCTTCCTGGTAGTCCCTTTTACCACTGCAAACATGGCTAAGATGCGTTTATATGTTTCAATTTATTAATACTATTTTTTAGAGAGATAGATTTTTTTTTTAAGGGAGGAGGGGGAGTGCAAATCTGCTACGCCCCGAAATGATTTCGAAAATATGATTTCGTCTTATTAAAGAGTTCTTCTTCTTCCCTGTTATTGTTGTTTGTTGTTGTTCATCATTTTCTAATTTTTATTTTCTTCCTTTCCTTATTCTTTATCTTCTCCTTCAAATGACGACAGCTGTGCGCAAGCTGAAGGGGAAAAAACAAATCGGCATTATATACGTAAGGCATACTTTTTGAAGACGTAAAATTTAGAAATTCTCTGAATTCACCCATGTATATGCTGGCCCCTGCCTATCTAACTCAATTCGCTTGGAACTTTCCTCTATTTCCTTCCAAATGGACAAAACTTCCCCGGTATATACCTAATGCCTCCCTGCTGATGCATCCATGACCTTTGACCTTCCCCCTCCCTCGTCTGTGAGTCACTTCATGACGCCATTTCCCCTTCCCCCGCGTGCGAAGAGGGAAATCGTATAATGCCAAAAGGGCATATGTCACTAGAAGAACGAAATTTCGAATTTGGACATTGTGCTCGATACGGACAAAGTTTTCTATTAAGAAGCCTTTATTGAGTTATGATGAAAGTGATACCATTTTAATTATAATACACATAGATTACTAAAAGACATGTTATTAACAAATAATGATTACTCTGTTGGTATTACTCTGTTGTGTACATAAATTTATGTTTTTTTTTGTGTATTTCATTGAGAATGAAACAAAGACTGAACTGAACTAAAATGATAAGTTTATCGGGTTAATTGAAGTACATGATAAGGAAAAAGAACTTTAAAAATAATTGTTAACAAATTCAGATTCAATTATTCATATTGTATAGTGGGGAACTTTATTATGTCTGCCTACATATTGTGAGCGATATTTGAAACGGACGAATCTGTCATATTACTGTACGGATTCGTTGGCTCAAAATATATTCAAGCTGTATCTTCATGACTAAAATATGTTTTGAGTGAAAACCTGCAATACTTTGACTTTATTTCGTTGTATGATTATCATAGATAAGTGTATTTCTCAAACGATATTGATTTTTGTTTTTTCTTCTTCTTCTTCTTCTTCTCCTCCTCCTCCGCCTCCTAAGTTCCTCCTACAAAAGGGAAAGATTATAAGATTATTATTAGTAGTAGTTAGAGAGAGAGAGAGAGAGAGAGAGAGAGAGAGAGAGAGAGAGAGAAAGAAAGAGAAAGAACAAAATAAAGAGAGAGAGAGAGAGGGGGGATAGAAAGGGAGAAAGAGAGAAAGAGCGTGCGCTGTAGAAGTAATTTGTATTCCAGATTTACTCACTTTTTGTTTTAGCCTCGTTTAAGACCATAAAAACAATAACATTCATATTAAAAAAGGCCTACATTTTAAATCTAATATAACGAGGGGGTGGCTTCCATTTGACAATTGTATGTTTCAAAAGCAGCTAAAATCTCGACTTTTTGATTTGAAACTCTTGGCAAATTCTAACCATTATTGCAAAAAAGTTGAACAGCCTCTTTATTCGTCCTACTTAAATTATTTGTATTAGACACAGACAATAGTTGAAATACAATTACCTCATCATTCTCTCACCGTCAAGATCTGTTACTTTTGAGTTACTTTCTAAATATTTGAGAAGTTAAAGGTACTATGTCCCTTTTGCAGCCAACCTCAAATTCTGTAGAACTTTGCAGGAATTATGAATATGTCATGTATGTCCTATCTGTCAAATTTAAACGTTAGCAGTGTCCTCATATTCAAATTATGCAAGAAACCCGTTTTACTTGCTAGACTTCACTGTCAGACACTATTGAGTGACTGACTGGCTTTTTTCTTCTTTGGTAATAACATACATGAAAATAGTTGTAAAGGGTACATGAGCATTTGTCTACATCAATAACCCACTTCTTGTGATAGCCAAGATTAAACTGATTGAATCTTTGCGCAGCATAAAGCGTATGACCATTCAGTTTATTGTCTGAAAATCAAGACTATTACCTTTGGGCTCTATAGCCCTAAAGTCGATTTGACAACTAATAGTCATTATTTTCCCACTTGAAGACATTTTCAAGCCCCACCTTTTGTGGGAAATTCTAAATAAGTATTATCTTTCAAATGCAGTTGGAATTTAAATTTTTCATTTTTTTGACCTGCAAATGGGACATAGTACCTTTAAACAAAAGGAAAAGGAAAATGTATTTGCGAAAAACAATCTTGAGCCATATTCGATATTTTTTAGAAGAGCAAAATTTCCTAGACGACATAACGTTTTCATATACTGTAGGAAGTTCCTATTATTGAATAAGGAGGTGATCTTTCCTTCTGCCTCTTGCTTCTCGGCCCGAGAATACGACCAACTCGTTCCTCAAATATAGTCTTCATAATATAGACACTTTCTCATCTAAGTCCTTTTCTTAAATCATAATATTTACCTAAGCATTGCATGCTAGGTCCACGAACAATGCCATCTTCTTCAAATCGAAACTTAAAAATGACCGCTAATTCAATTCAATAAGGGTTTATTCAAAATGACATTCATGCAGATGAAGCTGAATCACATGGTCATTTACAAGGTAAAATGCATCATAATGGTTAAAATACAGCATTATGCATGTAAACATCAAATACATTACACGTAGCAGGAACAATATACTAAATACATTCATACGCAAAATAGGCAGCATCATTAAACATCATAAAAATATACAAAACGAATGAAACTTACTTTTTTTAATAATAATTTTGTAAGATGCGAACAAAATATATAGGGAATAGGGCTATTCTTCAGTCGATTGGTTTTACAAATAAATTAAGAATATTTGTGTACATTTCGTAAATTAAAATTAACATTAAAATAAAAATCTTCCTGTAGGGCTGCGATAGCTAACCGTTGAATAAATCCTTGGACAGCAGAATTTAAGTAGCAGAGATGTGGTAAGGATATCTTGGACTGACATAATTTCAAACGAAGAAATGCTCAATAAGGCATGTGTCGATAGATCCCTCCTTAATTATTTTAAGGAAAATACAACTTCAGGTTGTTGGGCATAATATTATGAGAAGAGAAGGCACAGAAAACAGAAAACTGACAGGAAAAATTGAGCTATAAAGAGAAGCATCAAATACATGGATAAGTTTATTTGGCCGACTGGTAACAGAATTAACGTTACATCACAAAGAACGAGAGATATAATTAGATGGAAAAGTCTTGATCGCCAATGTTTGGTACAGACAAGGCATTAATCAAGCTTGATAGGTTTCTTCCATTTTCTCCCTTTCATTTTCCTTGATGTGACGGGATACATGCCCTAGCTGGGACCCATGTCGCTGCACCTCTAAAAATCACGACACAAAGTAACTGTTATGGACGAATTTTATATTTTGATGGGGATCCATTCAGGGATCAATGTGATTTTATTTGTTTTGGTTTGTTTTATTTCATTTATGAGCGTTACAATTAGGCCTATGCTGTTGAACAAAACTCGGTTGGGCGGGGCTGACGACGAGGGAAATCGATATAGAATAATCGTGGTGACGAATTAGAAAAAAGCGATTAAAAGTACAGGAGTTTACCAATTTAGTTAGGTTAAGACATTAAAGGGACTAGGTAACATTGTTCAGATGAGAGATAGTGATTCTAAGGTAGTGACTTCAATGAAAGATGTACAATTAAAGATAATCTGAAAATTTGAGTGAAAACGGACCATTATTCATGGTACAAATTGGGAAAAACTGATCTGATCGATTCCTTAATTCTCCCAACTAGGTCTAGATCTAGATCTAGATCTATAGAACAATTCAGTTACATTTTAGGTAAATGGAAATTTCACAAAGCAATAAAATGGCTCCACATTCCATTCCAGACATTTAAGTGTTGACAGATTTTTTTATAGCCTGTTTTATGTCCTTTTTTCATGGAAAAACGGTTGGGAAAATTCAAAAATGGTTGGGAGAATTTACTGTTAATCACTGTGAGAGGGTGCCTAACATCGACGCCTTCAAAGAAAACCATAGATATCTTCGTGGTTTGAGATTTTTTTCAGGATTTTTTGCCTGTCGGAGGGTTAGTACAGTAAAAGGAATACAGTAAGAAACCTTTTATACAAAAATTAAGCAATTTTTTTCATCAACCTTCAACAATGTTACCAAGTCACTTTAAGATTTATTTTCTTCAAATCGAAACGGAGACTTGATTTACAGACTAGCAGGCGTTCCCCTTCCCCTTCACGCCTTACCATTGAAGGCCAGACAAAAAATGGGTAAAACAAAAATATGAAGCTCAAAAACTTTTGCTCTCGGTGCCTCGATTTTTGGATTCTGTCAAAGCTTATATCCCTCTATCAAATGCCGTGGGCGAGATGAAGTCATTACATTTTACTTGACAAGAATTACCGAAAGACCAACTGACACCTATCCAACTATCGGAACTCGGTATTTAAGGAGTTAATTATAATCTGCAACCTTCGTGACGGATTGGGGGATTCTAGTTCATTGCCGAGAAAGAGACATTCGTTGATCTTGGTCGGCAAGAGTATTATGCTCTACGATTGTCAGCTTTGGCCTCACTGAATGTCAACATGTGGCATTGATCATGTTGATAGTGTCAATGATGAGTTAAATAACTTGAAGTAAATCTCCCCGACCTCTTTTATTTCATTCTCCTTCTTCCGGTACTAAGTGCAAGACAAAAGGACAATCACTTTGGCTAATGAATAGCGGACTTGTGTACGTGACATTGGACATGTAACAACTGAAGGTTGTTTCTTTTATTCAAAACGCCGGAAACTTGAACAAACTCCTTTCCAACTCGGTTGGAATCATTTCTAAATTTCTTTCTCTCAAACAACTGAACAAAAAAGTTATTCAAACTCAAGTTACGCGTAGCCCGACAGAGCGTTAGTTTGCTCCAATCGCTCTCCTGAGTGCAACTCGTCCGCCATTCATCCGGCCCAGTTGAAAACAAGTTGGCAAAGTTCACGTCTGGCATCACGCAGGAGCACACACCCAGCCATTGAGAGCCGCAATATATCTTACAATCAATTGAGGATCGGAAGGGCTCACCGAACAAGTCCTCTGCGGGCGATTTAGTAGGACCCTTATATTTTAATCGGGAGGTTATATCCCGTTGATTGAGCCATTTTCTATTTCTTTTTGGAAGTGAAAGGATCGTAAAAGGATATCAAGATGACTGGCTGCATGTACTCCATTCAGATGGTGACGGAGATCAGTCTCCTTCTCGTTGCCTTCCTCGCTGGAATAACAGCCGCCATCGCTATCGGTATCGTCAGGGTAAGACATCACGTCGTTGACCGCCATTTTGTTTTGTTTTAATGTTGACTGATTTGACAAATATTGACACAAAGAACTTTATGACCTTTACACGGATAACAGTACACTATTGCGTTCCTTCCTTGCTTTTACCTAACGTGCACTTTGAATTTAAAAATGCTTATTTTTTACGATCTTATTCTACAAACATATCTTCCGTGAAAAGGGACACACCTCTTTAGCTTGGATAATATTTATCCCTTGTCGGTGACAGGATTTTTTTTCCTCAATTTTGTACTTTCCATTTCGTTCCATCATAGATACTACATGTATGCCATTAAATCTGCTCAAAAATGATGATGAATTACGATTTTGTCACGTTGTACCACTTTTGTATGAAGTCCACTACATTTCCTGCAATTATAACTATCATGACTAAAAATAAATAAATCCATAATTAGTAACCGATATCAAAATTATGATGTATTCAACTGCAGGCCCAATATACTCTCGCTGTACTCGCATACAATAATATTATAATAAATGTTTATGTTAGTAGATTGGTGGGGAACATGACTGTGAACAATTCGCTATTGTCTAGCCTTTTCTTGAATACAATCAATTGGATGTATGCTAATTTATCATTTCCTGAGATGGGTGGGGCGTGGGAATGCTTTGAAGATAATATCAATAAACCATATCCTGTCTTCGGAGACGTATAGTACCACACGAAAAACAACAAAGGGAGAGATTAATATGCCAAATTCGGAGAATCACATATTCATGCGCTAGTCATAACAAACAAACAAACAAACAAACAAAAATCACATTCTCATCGCAACCGTAAGAATACAGGTACTTATAAGTTCTCATTATTCTATAGTGCGGATTACAAATGTTTCGGTACGGTAAATTATTACATATCTTAATGTTTCCACCTGTTGCCAACCTTAATATTTAGGCTAGTAGGCAATCCATCTCGCTTTGGTGATCTCGAAGCAGCAGGCAACAAGAAACTGTCGGAAAAATCACTAAGCATGAGAAATTCCACAAAAGTTGTTGAAGTTGCGCTTACTAAATATTAAGGTTGCTATATGCCTACTTAGGATAAATTACATGTTATAACCATACCCAACCATTGGAGGTTTTCTGTATCAAGATATTTCTTGAACACGATACAATATTTTAGTTTACCTTGTAAGAGGGGGAGGGGTGGCTGGTTGTTTTAATAATATACAGTCTATAAAGCACACATCATTAGTAGCTTCTCTATGCGCTTAGAAAGGGGGAGGGGGTAATAGGTGCTGCAAACGCCCCACTGTTACTCAGTCAAAAAAAAAATTAAATAGTGCAATAATAGGAGAGATTTAAACTTATTTCATAACTATATCAGAGGGAGAAGGGGAGGCTGGTTGTTTTAATGAATTCACAATAGGGACTCCGTAACGCATAATGCTTCTTTTCTCTGGTGACACATCATACATCCTGCTTACGTTGACGCTCTAATTACGGCTTACTCATGACATCCTTTCAACTTCTGAGACACAATTAAGGGCATGCATGCCAACACTGACGTAAACAGACTGAACGTCGAAACCAGTGTATGGGACTACGATTAGTATTACTCTCACAAATTATAGAAGTTGCATTCATTCAAACAAACAAAAAAACAATTACTGTTATTACCAGTACATACGAGAGCAACGTGTATTATAGGCCTATGCTTTGTCTGGTTTATTAACAAGGGGAAAAGGTGAGGCGTTGGTGCCATGTCCGAGAGACTTTGCCCGAATAAAGCCTTTCATAATTATTTATGTATTTATTTATTTATTTGTTTATAAATTCACCACTTATGGGTTGGATTACCATTGTCAGCTACAAGCTGTTTTTCAAAGGGGTCATTTATCCTACTCCGGGGGGGGGGGGGGGGTGGGCCTCTATAGTCTATACCATCTAAGAGCCCCCAAATAACAAAGAAAAGCACAATATAATCAAGGTTCGCTCCTTATAACAGCGCAGTGGTATATAACTACATATAACCCATAGGAATTGATAATATTCTTAGAATGTTTAACGTACATATTCATTGTTCTGAAACAAGCAACATCAACAACAACAACAACAAAAGCATAACAAACATAAACTGGGTCCTTTTAAAGCGAAACATTATTTCTTAACCCAGCGTTGGGTTCCATTCACCGCTGATTTCCTAACATACATTAGAAGGATATATAATATCTTAATACTATGTTTTAAAATATCCCAGCATGTCGGCTTACCTGTGATAACAAGGGAGTTGATACTTCATTATCATATGCTATTAAGGAGCGGGAAGGGGGTGCAAATTCGATTTCCTTCCGCTCTTAACATGCACCGCAACGTCTGGCTTAGCACTGCAGGGGTGCTCCCGCCCTATTTTCGGTTCGAGGGGCACAACCACCCTGTAATATTTTACTTTTTTTTTTAGTTCATAACATTGTATATGGTTTTTCATTTGGTCTGTTTCATGTTTCTTGAAGGTTAACAATGGTATTTACAATATTGTGAATGAAATTGTATACACTTTTTTCTTTTGCATTATAGAATGAAAGGATTGTCATATTGCGCAGATTATTATAGGCATATTGTCTAGAATAATTTTTATATGACTTTATATAGTTAATGCGCCTTATAATATGCATGTCAAAGGGTTAGGGTTAGGGTTAGGGTTAGGCACTGAAGTTGGGCGTAGTCACTTGCGAAAAGCGTGAAAGAAACCGGGGTGTTTTGCAAAGACTAAGATCAACTTGAACTTGAAGTATGGCAGGCCGCTCATGCCACTGGTTGCTCTCACCATTAGTCTCTCTCATAACAAAACTAAAATACTTAAATTAAAGTGCTAGTTAAGACTTGGAAAGTTGTTGGACTTATACTGCGGTAGACAGTTTATGAATCTTAAAAATCTTAACCCGATGTAAAATTAGAGTTTTAAAAATACCCAAGAAATTATGATCTTGAGATTTAAACAAATTCTTCAACAACGAACTATAACCAAAGAACTGTCGATTCTGTACATAAGTGGCCACGATTTGCACATCCCTTGAGAGACCAATGCCAGGAATGATGAGAGCAAACAGTATGCAAACGGAATGCCATAGTTCAAGTCAAAAGTAAGTCGATCTTAGTCCTAAGTTTGTGAAAGCCCCCCCCCCCCAAACAAAAACAAAAAATCACAAAAAAATCAACAACAAAAATATATATATTTTTAAATTCTTTAAAAACCCAGCAAAGAATCAATACTTATTCAAAAATCTTACACAAATAAGGATTTAATCTCTTCATCATCTTAACCCCTGTACTGAATAGTCTCAGATCTAGACTAGTACTGCGTAACCGACAAAAGTTAAGAATAACTCAGCTAAACAGAAAATAAATTTATTTTCAACTTTTGAAAAGTAACAACTTGACAACCCAATATGTATTGATGTACCGGTGCAATTCTTGGTAATATGTCATCGAAAGGTATATATCTTTAATCTTTATCTCCGTCTTTTACTTTTCTTGTCTAATACGTACTTTTCTATTCAAAAAGAAAATCTTGTGCATACTGCATTTATTATTACACGCATTTATACATTATTTTGTTGTATTGTTTTTATCTTAATGAGTAAAATAAGCGAATTGACGGTGGATCTTGAATATCTCACGGTGATACAAATTCAATTTCTCATCGTATAAGACATTTACTCTCGTGTACACATTTCAAACTTCTTGAAACTAATAACATTATTCAGGAACTAATCATATTCACAGATCTCACCGAGATACATATTTAATATCCTCATCTTCCTATGCCGTATATAGGAGTCTCTTTAGTCTCATGTATGATCATGATGAAGGCTCCTCTCTCCTTCTCTCTCACGACACGGCGATGATTCATGCCTCATGTGAAGAGCTGATAAAAGGCCGTGGTTAATGACACATCACATGCATGGCAACGACATTTATAGACTCAGACAGATTACGTATGATATATACGTACAGCAGTAACTGTTCACATATGTATTGTATGATATACAGTTAACACGGGAGTTAACACCTGAATTATTCATACCACTTTTAAATTGATATGTTTGTGTTTTTCGTATAGAATAAAAGGGAGATTGGTTAAATTAGGGCCTTTGTTAAATAAAAATAATAATAATAACAACATTTATAATGCGCACATATCCACCCAAGAGATGCACAAGGCGCCAAACAAGGTATATATATTAAACTTAAGAAAGTACATCAGAAGTTACAGAGAACGAAAATAATTTAACATAATTAAATATAATTAAACAACGTTAATTACATCAGATTGTGAAAAACACTACGTCTTAACTAAGGAATTCAGACATTTTCAAGTTTTTTTGGTAAAAGTTTTGATTGGCTGACATTTTGATTGAATGGGGTAGGGAGTTCCATAACCGGGGTGCAGCAGCTATAAACTTCATTATGTCACATTCTCAAGAAACATAAATTGGGACATGTTAATTTTTCACATTAAAAAATACAAAACTTGCTAAGGGCTGTTGACGATAAGTATATTTCACATGTGTACACAAAAATGCATTATCTATTTTCGAAAACCAACTTTCTGGTTGTTGTATGGTTTTTGTTGTTGTTGTTGTTGTTCGTCCCCTTGAAGAGTATTCAAGATCTCCATTGATACGCTAGTAAGAAACTAACATTGTATGGTTATTCAATAGAACAATCACACAGAGATGGTTATTTCTCGTTTTTTTTTCTTCTCAAAGACAGTCTATCAAATTTGTAAGAAAATAGAACAAACCTGACCTTCATGGCATATCAACAATCGCTACTAGCTTCCAAGAGCTGAACTTTACACAAAGAAGAATATGGCGCTGATTTACACAATGAAGCTGTTGAAGAGGTCATGCACATTGTGACTATGCCACTGACTCTAATGTATTGATTTTGCATAATGCCGATTGACATTCAGACATTGTATTAGGCGGGTAAAATTGAACAATCAAGACAGTCTGAATATTATTGCTTTTCAAACACGTTAATGGATTGAGATAAATATACCAAATGATTTCATACCCGAATGGGTAAGTTAAAGGCCCACTGTACTACTTGTAGCTACATGCTCCCTCGATATAGAAAACAATGCCTAATCGGTGACCATTGGTCCCCCATGATCCTCTTTTTCTTATGTTAACTGAGAGTCGAGTTGATGAGATAGCCACATGTCAGTGACCTTCATGTGTGGTCTAATCTCTCCTAGCCAAACTAGAACAGATGGCCTTTAAAAGTGACCACATCGGATTAAATCATTATTAGACCATAATGGATAACAGAAAAATGGGCCTTAGACAAACTGAGAATTAGACTGACCGGACTAAATGAGCATTATACCAAATGGGTAGTAGACGAAATGATTATGAGACCATGTGGATAGTAGACTTGGCTGGGTGTAGACCATATGCCGTACACGACTTCAGTATATAGGGGGGGGGGTGAGTTATATCCCTATCTCCATCCCTGTCTCCTTCTCCCCCCCCCCCTTTTTTTCCTTCTTTGTTACCTTATCTCCCTTTACCCCGATACACATGAGGTGGAAGGGGGGGGGGGGGGGTCATGTGCTCCTCGACTCAAACACTGCCGCACTGTACTCCCAATGCCGTTATGACTCTTATTTTAGAATCCTTAAAATCTCCTTTACCCTTGCAGGATTTAGATTTACCCTTGGACTAAGTGAAAAGGAGACCCTAAATAGCTGACTGCAAAATTAGATAGCTAGGCCCAATTTAAAGGTACAATGTCCCTTTTGCAGGCCGAAAAAAGGAAAAGGTTCAATTCCAACGGCATTTGAAAGACAGTACTAATTAGTTGTCAAATCGACTTAGAAGCTATAGAGCCATTAAGTAATAGTCTAATTTTTCAGACCATTGTACCGAATGGTCGTACTTTTTATGATTCAATCAGTTTAATATTGGCCATCACATGGATTATTGATGTAGACAAATACTTATGTACCCTTTACAGCTCATGTTATGTATGTTATTACCAAAGATGCAAAAAGCCAGTCAGTCACTCAATAGTGTCTGACAGTGAAGTCTAGCAAATAAATGTGTTTCCTTGCATAATTTGAATATTAGGACACTGCTAATGTTTAAACTTCACAGATAGGACATACATGACATATTCATAATTTCTGCAAAGTTCTACAGAATTTGATGTTGGCTGCAAAAGGGACATAGTACCTTTAAGATAAAGCTGAATTCTGGTTATGCGATTTCATTGTAAAAGACACTAAAAGAAATTGGGAAGGCTGATTATGACGCACATTAAAAATGGATGTATACTGTGAGTTTTTGAATGATCAAAATGACATAAATATTACCGAAAGTCGCATGCACTACACACACACGTATGGGACAACACACATTGGCATGAAAACTTGAGTATAAACATTTCAGCTTTTTTTCGTCATATTTTGAATATGAGGGCATCTGTAGGGCAATCATTATGTCCCTGGGGATATTTTCTCTATTATTTTCTTCCATACAATCATTAAAAGGAATGGAAAAAAACTCATATCTCATTGTTTACCTTTACCATAAATAACTTAACTTTCTCTGTTAAGGAGTTTTATACATACTCTATGTTGGCGTTCTTGTGGAGGCAAGAGCAATATAAAGTCTTACAGTTAGTCATAATAATATGTCACATAATATCATAATAATGATATTAATAATAGTAATACTCATGATAATAAAAAAATGATACTAAAAATAACAACGATGAGAATAATATTCTAGGCTAAGGACATTAGTGCCGTTTTGCGTATAGAACCGACGACCTTTGCATTACAAGTCCAGTCCTTAAACCACTAGACTACAACACCTCTTCCACAGTTTCGTGATGATGTCGGATCTCTATTTATATCTTAATAAGTGAGCGGATGGAATAGGATTGGATGATTCACAATTTCATTCCAAATAAGGCAAAGAACTAAACCCCGTCCAATGACATCCACCCACAGACTATATACTAAAAGATGGAATTTTCAAGGATTCGGAGTGCCTCAGTTAGACATATTTTGACAATAATTTCTTAAAGGTACTATGTCCCTTTTGCAGGCCAAATAAATGAAAAGGTTAAATTCCAATGGCATTTGAAAGATAATACTAATTTAGAACTCCCCTTAAAAAAATGGGGCTCTTTAAGTGGGAAAATAACAACTATTAGTTGTCAAATCGACTTAGGAGCTATAGAGCCAATAAGTAATAGTCTTGATTTTCAGACCATTGTACCGCATGGTCGTTCGTCTTATGCTGCGCAAAGATTCAATCAGTTTAATTTTGGCGATTACAAGAAGTGGGTTATTGTAGTAGACAAATCATTTACAGCTCATTTTATGTATGTTATTACCAAAGAAGAAGAAAAAGCCAGTCAGTCACTCAATACTGACAATAGTGTCTGACAGTGAAGTCTAGCAAGTAAACGGGTTTCCTTGCATAATTTGAATATTAGGACACAACTAACGTTTAAATTTCACAGATAGGACATACACGACATATTCATAATTCCTGCAAAGTTCTACAGAATTTGAGGTTGGCTGCAAAAGGGACATAGTATCTTTAAAGGCTTTGACCTTTACAACGAATAGTTGCTTGATACTAATAATATTAAGTTAAGCAAGAATTGTGATATATGTTTCAAAGAACACGTAGGCATACGAATACAACATAGGTGCAGCGTGTTGAGGGTGAGGGGGCTTAAACAGGGTATAAAATGAATGAATTCTTACAGAGGCTGAGAGGGGTAACAGGTGAAGGACAGGGGCGTTGATTCGGATAGGTGCAGATCTAGAGTCAGCATGCGCCCCTCTCTTCAAAATGACACCACTGTGAATTCGTTTTGAGGATTTGGTTAACCCCCGTTTTAACACTTTGCAAAATTCCATTTCACACGAAACCATTCTTAAGTAGCATCATGATGTAATGATACCAGATATGAATGCAATGTGTCAATTACTTTTCTGTAATAACATAAGGTAACATAAGGTAAAGAAGGAAGATTTTTTAAATAATCTTTTGTGTCCCTGTAATAAAATGGGCCTTCAAGTGATACATATTATATAGCAGAATTTTTGTTTTCATTTCTAATGCAGTGTATTGTGCCGTTCACTAACTAGAATGATTTATTTGTACGTAATCATTAGTCTCTACATAGGTAAATTGCTAGTGACAGACATTCTTGTAGTAAACTTCACTTGTGTTGAAACTTAATTAGGCATTCCCTGTGTGCGACGTATATAGTTATAATTATAGAAGAAGTTGTTGTAGTTGACGAGACGGGAAATTGATTAATTAGAATCTAATTGGAATGTCATATCAGAAAAGCATCACGTGACTACACAATATATCGCATTTTCATGTGAAGGTAAAATCGGCTTAGTATGAGGGCATTATAGCTAATCCTACGCTGGTCACTGACCGAAATAATGATCTATTCCTTTCCCTGCTTAAACCTTATTTTTACACGCAAATGTGTTATGTATCTTTTGTTCGGATAAAATCCTTTTTTATCCTACCTATCTTATGTGGATTAATATGACTGAGCGTTGTGTTCTAGTTATTTGCGATTCCTGTGGGCTTTCGTTCTTTGTTTTTTATTGTTTTTGTCATGTTTAATTGGACAGAAGCCAGACGGTGAAACGATGAAGACATATTTTTATTTTCGTTTCCTGCTGTTGCTATAGGTAGCATGATTATTTCCTGTCGATAACAATTCATGCTCCCTTAAAAATCTCACGTAGTCTTTGTCTTTATATTTTCTCTCCTCTCTATCTCTGTCCCCTCCCTCCATCTTTTACTCTCCGTGTTTCCTATCTGTTTGCCGCTGCACCCACTATCCTCCCTAAGTAAGTTGCTTTGTCGCTTTCTCCCTCCCTCTCTTTCTTTCTCTCTCTCTGTCCCTATTTCTTTCTTTCTTTCTCTCTCTCTCTCTCTCTCTATCTCTCTGCATCTCTCTCTCTCTCTCTCTCTCTCTCTCTTCCTATCCTTCTCTGTCTCCCATGCTGGAAAGAATACACTCATTCACAGTGTGAAATCACAGTTCACACTGTGAACACAGTGAATGAGTGTGTTCTTTCCTTTTCCGATTATCCACACTGTGAACCACAGTGTGAAACGAATCGACCACAATGTGAAAACGCCCCAATTTAACATTGTGGAGCACACTGTGATTCACAGTGTGAAACACAGTGTGATTCACATTGTGAATGAGTGTGAATGAGTGTGTTCTTTCCAACAGGGTCTCGGTCTCTCCCTCTCCCTCACTCTCTCTCCCTATCAAACACTAATTCACTCTCTATTCTTTCGTTCAGGATGATTTCCGAGGAGATTGTTTGATCTACGCACAGGTCCAGTATGACACGCCCAACTCCTTTTCAGTACATGCGAACGGCACAGGGCCGAAATGCGACTTCGCCCTATCTGTACAGGTACGTGTATAATGATTCAGTCATTAATCAAAATTATTAGGAAATATAATACATTTATGATAAGGCAACCTCTCATCAGCAAAAATATCATATTATAGTTTTATTATAATATACTATAAATGATGATATAAAGAGAGTGTCAAATAGTATTTCCAGAAGATACAATGAATAGAAAAACCGAAATGTTGTTGAGATGGAAAACAGAATCGTAACAAAAAAGTAAAGAATTATTAGTATATTAATGAGAGGGGAAAAAAAGCTTTAAAAAAATCACAGTAGAAAGATGAAAGACAGGCAATAGATAATGAAAAATGTGCATTAAAACTGCACAAACAAAGATAAATTGTTATTAACATTATATACTTGTAATAATCATCTTTTGTATGTTTAAATAATGTTTTAAAGCATTTCAGCAGATCGTCCAGTAATCGAAATAATTTATCTTCAAAATATATTCTTTATTGGGAATGTATTAAATTCAACCGCCGCGGATGAGTGTCTAAATTCATGAATTTCTAAATTATATCCCATTTTATCAACAGGTCATCATTTCGCTTATTGCATTTTTGTATGCACTTTACAAACTGGTTGTCTTCTTTACTAAGAGATTTGACATGTAAGTATTTTATTTATTTATTTATTGATTATTTATTTAATATACATTTAAAGAAGGTCTTTTTAACTGTTGTATGCAATTGGTTATGTCTATCATTGGGTTGTTGAATGTTGGGAGGGGGACGATTGGCCCCTGATGCCCCTTTTTGAAACCAGTGCAGTTTTAAAATGTGTGCACCTCACATTTTCTACTCAAGGCACCTTAAAGATACTATTTCCCTTTTGCAGCCAACATCAAATTATGTAGTACTTTGCAGGAATTATGAATATGTCATGTATGTCCTATCTGTGAAATTTAAACGTTTGCAGTGTCCCAATATTCAAATTATGCAAGGAAACATGTTTACTTGCTAGACTTCACTGTCAGACACTAGTGAGTGACTGACTGGCTTTTTTCTTCTTTTGGTAATAACATACATAAGATGAGCTGTAAAGGGTACATGAGCATTTTTCTACATCAATAACCCACTTCTTTAAATGGCAAAAAGTAAACTGATTGAATCTTTGCACAGCATAAAACGTACGACCATTCGGTCCAATGGTCTGAAAATCAGACTATTACTTACTGGCTCTATAGCTCTTAAGTCGATTCGACAACTAATAGTCGTTATTTTCCCACTGAAAGACATTTTCAAGCCCCCTTTTCTTTTGGGAAGTTTTAAATTAGTATTATCTTTCAAATGCCGTTGGAATTTAACCTTTTCATTTTTTTTTGGCCTGCAAATGGGACATAGCACCTTTAAATCTGATACTAAAGCTCCTCTTCGCTCTATTTTCTTCTTCTGCCTTTATTTTAAATCTCGAACTGTTTGATTGCGTGTTAATGTTATCATCATAATTATCATCACCTGTCGCAGAATGCTTGCTGCTATCTATGTTGTTGTTGTCATTATATTTATCTTAAGAATTCACACTAGAATCATTATTGGGAGTTGAATTACTGTCGTGTTTATTCTTCAAATTATTTTAAGATAATCTATTAATGTCCCATTTTTCTCTCTTTTTATTTCTTGCTTTGTCTGATGTATTATGTGTTTCTTGGCTCTTATTACTGCTTAAACAATTATTTGAAGAAAAATAAATATATTCTTAAATATGCAAACCAGATTAGTTTCTTATCTTTTATGTCACATGACTTTGGTCTGATAATTTTCCCTGTCTATTGTATGAATGCATTTATATCTTGTCATCATGACAATATTGGTTTGTTAATGTATTCTAAGATTATATTCATTATTCATTTTCTCATCTGTCCCATCATGCTTCTTAGCCCGGTTCCAGGGGGGTGTTCCATAAAGATCCTAAGTTGAACTTAACTCTAAGTTGGACTTAAAAATTATGTCAGCCATTTGCAGCCTTAAAATAAAATATATCCAAAAGCAAAAATTCAAGTATTTTAGCCTTTTCGATAATTTCACATCAAGAACATGAAATCTCCTTGATAATAGAAAATATGAATAATTTGAATCAACATTTTATGCCTCTTAAAATAACTTTTACAACATATTTTCAAAATTGCTAACGGCTTTCAATAATTAACAAGTCCAATTTAGAGATAAGTTCAACTTAGGATCTTTGTGAAACATCCCCCTGGTCTGATTATTATGTGTGTTTGCATAATTTTTAAATTCCTGTTGTATAGTGCTCTCATGCTTAATACAGTTGTACAATATAACATGAATTGTATAGTAATACAATATTATGACACAACTGTATGATATACCTTTCATGATTACTGTTCTGTTTTCTAGCCCTGCTTTCCGTCTGATCATTCTCCCAGTCTATTGCATCATGTGCTTCTTAGCTCTGATCGAGGCCTGTCTGGTCACGGTAGGATTTACATATTTCTGTAAACAACTCACGCAAACACCTGTCAGATCAATCGTAGTCCAGTAAGTATTACTTATCATGTTCTTATAATATTTTTGTTTATTCATTGATTCATTTAATTTATACAAGGCAGGTTAAACAACGTACGGTGCAAGCGTTATAATATTAAACATCCTTCGGTTTTGATAATGGGAACAAACTGAACACTGTTCTTTTGAGAGCAAGTGCTTGAATAATACTACATAACTTAAAGGGGCTGTAGCATGACGAGACTATGCGTCTTTCCCGAGGCCCACTCGGAGAAAATCGGGTGTAATACTTCTAAGGACGACGCGACGCAGTAGGCCTACGTATTCACGTGCGTGCAACATGCACGAAACCGAAGCGTGAGGAGAACTTCGGTCTGTTTCGCGAACGCTAGCGTGCGCTGACCCAGCTGATCAAGTCCATTCGTTTAAGTGCAGTTGTCCAAAAGAAGGCGTAGATGGCGTCAACCAGTATTTCCAACGCTACAGCCCCTTTAAATGGCCACTTTAACCAAAACGGGTTAAACAATGAAGAAGAAAAAAGACATGTAGAATAATAACATTTCTGACGGAGATTCTGAACATGATAATGATTTGTCTTAGAAACCATCTATAATTATGGAATCTAGCTTTAAAAACGACGACTCAGAACGCTCAGAAAAAAACCCCAGTTTCGGAGCTGTATTGCGCAATAGCATATGACGTCACTGCAGGAGACCGTAGACTCTTTGCCCACTCGTTTGATAGTTTGTGTTCTGAAGGAAACTGACGCCAGGCTGACAAGAACGCGCACGCAAAATAATGAAAGGACTGTGGTATGAGTCTACGCAAAAATCGTCTGTTTGCGACTTCTCGGTGAAAGGGAGGGTGATTTAGGCATTAACATGTCTTTAAAAGGGCAAAGTATGATATTAATTGGAAAAAAGAGACATTTATCCGAAAAATAATATGCACTTGATGATCCCAGAACGTTTTTGGCCATTTCGTCATTCCTAATTATGAATTACAATGAGATTGTAAGATTCTTAGACAAAGACAAGGACGTTCCCGCGATGACGTCAAATGCGTCATCAAGCCACGTCACCGTGTTAACCATTTTCGAGATCTGTGAAAAATGGATGATTATTATCATTTTTTGGTCAATATAGAGATTTTTCTGAAAAATTGGAGGGTGGAATATTAATAAACAGAGGTGTATTTATGTTTTAAAATGGGGTTACAGCCCGGTCCCCCCTCCCCCTCCTTACGCGTTTGCATGTTCCCTCCTTTTGAAAATACCTCCTAAGTCCGGTGTGTAAAGCAAATACGGCCGGATTCTTGTGTATTACGAGCCGGACTTTGGTGCGTGAAAAGTACCCCTTCACCGGACATTTTGGGTACACGAATGCGGTCCCTCCGACCCCGGAGTGGGGGGAGGGGGGAGGGGGGTGGTGGGGCGGGGGTTATAATGGCCCTTTAACCTTAATGCTTAACATTGTTCAGAGAATTAGAATTCATCATCTTCCCCTTGAAATGGAAAGAAGCCTCATCCACGAGGAATATGCTTTGCCCTGGATAAAGGGGTCCATCACGAGGAAATGTTGAAGTTTATTTTGATTCCATGCCAGCTTAGGGAATGAGTCATGTTTGAGGGGGAACTCGCCTCACTGTTTCTGACTTCGTGAACATAGGGGCAAAGTCTCAAAGGACAATCATTTGGAGCATGATAGGAACTTTATTTTGTTTCATAAATTATGTTCTGTTTTTGTAACAGGGATAATATGGAAGAATGTATAAAATATAGTTTTGATAATTATTTTGTGTTGTTTTTCCTTCATTTATCACGGAAAAATGGTATAGAAAGGGCGGTTCTCTCTCTCCATCTCTTTTCTCTATCTCTCTCTCCCTCTCGCTCTGTCTCTGTCTCTGTCTCTCTCTCTCTCTCTCTAGCTTCCTCCCCCTTTCTCTTTCTCTCTCTCTCTCTCTCCCCCCTCTCTCCAACATCGCTTGTATCCTTTAAATAAAAAGAAATATACTATTTATTTAAGACATCAAAACAATAATAAAGATTACAAATCTGCTATAGAATTTTTAGGTGACGCTGGAATACGGCAACTAGATCCGACCTCCGAAATACAATATACGTTTTTCATCTCAAACAATCGGACAAGTTTGAAACTCTGGCGCTATAACTCTCATCAGACAATAGAAGAATCAGACAATACTACAGGATTGCCAAGATTGGGGTTGAGACTTTGTCAAAGAAATAAGGAATGTTCCTCTTTTTTCTTTCTTTCTTTCTGTTTCTCACAAAAAAAACTATGGAAAGAAAAAACAGGTGAAACATTATAGTACATGTAGATATCGGAGAAACAATATGCGACTCTTGTGGATAGAATACATGCTATGTTTCATTTTCATCATAAAACGACATTCATTGCAGCAAATATAAACCATTTTCATTAATATAAACTTTTCCTCGAAATAAATAAAGTTCTGATCACAAAAATATTTCCACTGACCCGGGCCCTTTTCTAAAACTGGTTATTATTATTATTAAGCTAAATTTCTTTGACAAGTATGCTTTCAGCCAATCACATTTCACGATTTCAGTAGCTTATAACAGTGGCTTATAACACTAGCGTATAACAGCTTATGACAGGCAGTCAGCTCAAGTTTTAGCTCCCGGATTTTCAACTTTGTGATCATTGTTTCGTCAAACGTCGTGTTTTTACTATTAACTACAAATTCAATATATCATGTTATGCTATGTTATATATTACATTATGTGTTATTAATTTTGTTTGTAAACTTTTGTAGTTCGGCTAAACGCCGCGATGAAAGTTTTATTTGTAATAAACCATTTTGAATTGAATTGAATTGAATCAATCCAATGTATGTTTTTCCTTATTTACATCAGGTGTGCTCGATTCCAGCAAGCCCATTGGAATATTTACCAAGGACGAAACTTCTATGTCAGACTCAATCTGGCTTGTGTAAGTATTATTTATAAAATATTGGATGGCTTTGAGTGCGGTACAAGAATACATCGCTCGAGCTTTGACAATATTGGACGAGTCGAATTTCTCGAGGTATGACACCATTAGACGAGTCGAAGACGAGTACAATATTGTCATAGCGAGAGGAATATATTCTTGTATCATACGAAAAACAAAGCTATACAATTTTGTTATTATTATCTCTTTCAAGCTGACTAGCGAAATAACACAATTTGACTTATCTATTGACCAGGTACCAGCAAAACTGTTGTTGAGTTTCGATAATCAAGCAATATTGTATCGATAGTTGAAGTTCCCGGATGACAGATCATTACGAAAACAATATTGATCTGTCATCCGGGTACTGCGCTAATGATATTACATACTTATATAATATTGGATGACTTAAAGTGTGATACAAGAATGTAATATCGTTATAATGAGGGCAATATAATTATTCTCTTATCACACGAAAAACTAAGCCATACAATATTATTATTATTATCTATATCAGTCTGACTGTGTGTGTGTGTAATTGGGGTTTTACAGATTTGTATCAATCATATATGATTATTTACGTTTGGAGGCTGACCTTAAACGTCACCATCTGAAAGACGTGACTCGGTTTCGAACCGGGTACGCATGAGCGAGTTTGTAGACGAAGGCAGAGAACTGAACAAGTGAACGTATCGCTAGACCAACTCTCGCCTCCCTCCCTCCATTATCTTCAGGGCGTACATTGTTTAATTCATACATCCGATTCTACATATAGTTATATTACAACTAATATGTAGCTGCAGTGGGACATATTGAAGCTTCATTGTTGTCGTTCTTGCACCCGTTAGAGTTTTACAATCAAAAGATATGTAAAGCAACAACAACAAAATATGATAACGAAACAGAATGAAGAACACATAAATCGGATAACGTGTAATTCCAGATGATAACCATTAGGACATCCTCTTCTCCCCCATGATAGCTCATGCTCTGTAGGCCTTGCTCAGATATGATGCGGTGAAAACCGCGGCGGGTTTTGTGATGACGTAAAGTGTAATACACTTCATATTTCTGCATCTTATGACGGTTAACAGCTTTTAATTTCAGTCAAACTGAATGAAATACATGACGTTAGACTAAAATAATAATTCGCTTTGGATTATTGTATGATAAGAGAATGTCTCTGGTAAGATAACACATAACATAACAAACAATATTTTATCTCAGAATTAAACCTTACTCTTGATTTTTTTTCTGTTGATCATTTGAACAGATCGGATCCTGGATCTCCTTCACTTGTTGGTTGATCCTGGTCCCGATGTCCATCATGGTGTTTGTCATGGATCGACGAGGATCAGGACCGAAGCCCAAGGAAGAACCACCTACGCTGCCCAACTCGGAAAATATTGAACCATAGATAAGAGACCACCCGGAACATCCCAGTATGAGACGGACAGCCAACGAGACCAACATCCCGCAAGACCAACAGCCCAAAAGAATGACAGCCCAGTAGACCGACAGCCCGCGAGACTCACAGCCCAGTATACCGACAGCCCACGGGACTGACAGCCTAGTAGACCAACAGTCCAAAGACTGACAACCCAGTAGACCGACAGCCCACGAGACTGACAGCCCAGTAAACCGACAGCCCACGAGACTGACAGCCTAGTAGACCAACAGTCCAAGAGACTGACAACCCAGTAGACCGACAGCCCACGAGACTGACAGCCCAGTAAACCGACAGCCCACGAGACTGACAGCCTAGTAGACCAACAGTCCAAAGACTGACAACCCAGTAGACCGACAGCCCACGAGACTGACAGCCCAGTAAACCGACAGCCCACGAGACTGACAGCTCACGAGACCAACAGTCCAAGAGACTGACAGCCTAGTAGACCAACAGTCCAAAGACTGACAACCCAGTAGACCGACAACCCACGAGACTGACAGCCCAGTAAACCGACAGCCCACGAGACTGACAGCTCACGAGACCAACTGTCCACGAGACCAACATCCCGCAAGACCAACAGCCCACAAGACGACAGCCCACGAGACCGACAGCCAACAAGACCCACATCGCACAGCCTAGTATACCAACAGCCCACAGGACTGACAACCTAGTAGACCGACAGCCCGCGAGAATGACAGCCCAGTAGACCAACAGCCCACGAAACTCCGATGTCTCGTGTTCTCTCTGAGGTCTCGTGGGCTGTCGGTCTCGTGACTCTAGCCAGAGGCTATACGAATAAACTTAATTGAATTAAGAGAAGTTAACTGAAGCGATGACTGTCCTTTATATTGCCGCCAAATTAGTTTGATTTATCTTGCCTAGAAAATGGTAAAAAGGAGAATTCTCGGCCAGAATTTCTTCGAGGGATTCGGAAAGGTGAATTGTTTTTAAAGAAAAGCAAGGGTTACGTGAGAAATTGTGCAATTGATTAAATAATAATCTAATACAATTTTCAACTGCTGATGGTTTCCGTTAAACACTTTATTTACAGTTTTCTTGAAAATTAAGAATTAATATAATTATTATTGACGACTTCACATTTTTTTGGCTGAATGAAAATAGAAGTTGGCACTATATTTATCGCAAAGTGAATAAGGAAAACTAAAAACAACGATTACACATTTGGGGTAATTTGCTGACTGTTTGTAAGGGGTAATGATATTCAGTTAAAACTACATTTCGGTAAGACTTCTCAGGGGAGTTTCAGAGCCATCTATACACAGAGTTTGGCCAACCCGGTTCGAGTTGGAGTCGGACACAATATGGCGACTACTGCTTTGTTGGGCAAGTTGGTTGGCCAAACTCTGTTTTAAATGGCTCAGGGGAGTTTATGCTGATGACACCCTCTATGTCTTTTCACTCTTTATACTGGTCCAGGGCGTCTCGTACTCAAAGCATCAATGACGCCATACCCTGAAAATCAAGATGTGTTATATTATGAATAGCAAGTATCAACCGCGGTAAGAAGAGTTTGTAAACTATTTTAAACCAGCGTGGCGCCACTGGAAATCTCTTATGAGATTAATGGATTGTTAAAAAAAGATGTACATAATGTTTGTATCGTTTACATCATAATGAAATACATGACGCTAAGTAACATGAAAGAATTAGATACAATAGATAAGGTAACTATAAGCACATTTTGACGCTCTCTGATACGTATCCTATTTGAATTTAAAACACATTCTCACTCTGTCATTGCATATAAGTATATAGATACAAATATCAAATACAACCTTTTTATCGTTCAGCTCAAAGTGCCTTTTTCGTAGGGGTCACATAACTATGTTGTGTATTTGCCCGAGTTTAAATTCTCGAAGAAAGCTCATGATATCTTGCATTCATGCTGTATATATTAATATCATCGCTATTTTTGTCAAACGGCCTTATCGTTATGGGCAAAATGTTTATATGATTTTTATTAGAATAATATAATGTCTTGTTTTAGTCGCAATATTCATATATATACTCCAAATGTTTTTCACATCGAATAGATCAACACCAGACCAAACCCAAACGTTGTACAGCACGCCATGGCCTAGAACAGAAGGTTAGGTTTGCTTTTGAGTCGGTTTGCAGCCGATTTGGCAATGTGACCGCGGTATCAAAGATAAAAAGAGTGGCCAGAACACAATTTCTTTAACAATCGTAAATTTATTGTTATTCTGCAGTTATCCATAACGCTTCGCTAATTGTGCAAGTCAGTTAGTTTTGCCAAAGAAGCATAGTGTATATAATGTACATGTTGTGCTTTTGTATATGTCTTGTATAATCATTGAAGTAAGTTTCTAATTTATCGGTGATTGTAACTTTCCGATAAAATTATATTTACAGGCTAAGAAGGGTTAAACAATTACTGGGAAAAATACGGAACGAATATCACAATTTACAGATCTATTGGACTAAAAGGTAGTTTTTAGAATACTGTATAAAGATATAAATAGTTAATATAGATATTGTTAATATGTAATTTGTATAATGTCATTAGAATATCATTACCAGATAAATACATATGGTTAATCAGTCTAATGAAGGCAAGATTGAAGTAAACATCAAAATTAAAGAAAACCTATATTCAGTTTGTTTTGCAATAACTTTTTAGATATGTCATTGACTTTGTTCGACAGCATAGCATTACAATAAGAGAGAGAGAGAGAGAGAGAGAGAGAGAGAGAGAAAAAGAGAGAGGATGTCGGAGATATATGAAAACAAAGACAGAGAAAGGTTTAAATAGAGTAAGAGAAAAGGGCATAAGAGAGGAGAGCGACGGAGAAAAAACAACAGAAAAGGAGTGAAAAAGATAAAGATAGGGACAGAGAGAAAGAGAGAGAGAGGGAGAAAGAGAAATAAAGATAGCGGGAGAGAAAGCGAAAGAGAGAGAGAGAGAGAGAGAGAGAGAGAGAGAGAGAGAGAGAGGCGAGGGGCGGGGCGGCCTAAAAACATTCCGACATCGGTGTCGTACAGAGCCTATTCTTCATAACTTCCAACACGACTGTTACTTCCTCAAAAAATTCCCTAAAATAAGGGGGGAATTATTTTTGTCTATTTTTATCGACAGAATGGTGGCTGACGACTGTTTTCATGACCTTTTCTCTGACTTTGCCAGTGAGTCGTGGCTGTCGCATGTTCATGGTGCGATGACCATAATTTATGATATGAAAAATACATTTACAAAAATGAGAGTTTTTTCAATCAAATTATACCCGTGCATTGTACCAAGGAAACATTTAAAAGATAGGACGGTTGGGAGAGTAGTCGATAAGAAGATAAGGAGAAATATATATAATCGAGCATAATTCCTGCTTTAAGGTAACGCCCCACATGCTTTGTCAAAATCTAATCCGGAGAGACCAACATTTCTCTTCGTAATGTAAGATGTTATTATTATGATAACTTCTGCCTTAGATATCATATTAAAATGCAAGAAATTAATTATTTGAAAAAAGGCGTTTAACGCAGTTCCCCCAACCTCACAGTTTCTCTCTGTCTCTTTATCTCTCTCTCTGTCTCTCTCTCTGTCTCTCTTTCTCTGTGTCACTCCTCCTCCCTCTCTCTCTCTCTCTCTCTCTCTCTCCCTCACTCCTCCCCCCTCTCTCTGTCTCCCTCTCGGATAATTAATACGAAAGTTGTGAATTTTAAATGACATGAAAAAACTTTGAATACCACCAGAAAAATTGGCAACTCACTCATGAATCTGTGACGTTATTATTCACTATTTTGTTTCCTTTATTTTGATAATGTAAATTTCCCATTCCCCCCTATAAGAATCTTATTTCTTCACACCGGCGTCCAAGTTATATTGATAGGAATATGTTTTTGTGTGGATCACTAATATAGAGTAATTTTTTTCAGTTAAATCATTAAAAACGTAAATTTAGATAAACTATTTATATAAAAATAAAAAATTATGAATATTTAATATTCAGAAAATAGTATGAATTCTTCAAAGTTCATAAAAGATTTTGTGAAATGTCATGCACGCAATAATGATACAAATCATATAACCTGGGCAAAGGCATGGGAAATCAGTTTTTGGGGAATAAAAAGGGAAGTTACTGGGATAAAAAAATATATAAAGCAATTGATAATTAGTGAGGCAATGACGTCACAAATTAATAACCAAATTGGCAATTTGTGTAGTGATTTTCATTGTTCTATAGTGTTTAATACTTTTTCAAAAATTCATAACTTCCTTTTTATCTCTCCGATTTAACTCAAATTTTGTTTTTATTGTTTTTTTAGCATCTATTAATAGGTTGATCACACTGCCTGAGCAAACAGTCTGCCCCGCGAACACACACACACACACAACAGCAGTCAGTTGGTAGAAATAGCAATTTTTTGTAAATGTATTTATAAAAAACTGAACAATATTTTTACATTTTTATTTCACATATATTTCAAGCATACCTAAAACTACAATTCTGTGTAGTTTCATTGTTATAGGCATGTGGAAAATATGTTAATTATTTAATTAGAATATTGTCTCTTCAGCCATGTGTGACATAGCCCGCTGATCGCCCGTTGACTCGCGCTGCTATTCTGCGTGGTGAAAATGCACCTCAATGTATAAAACTCCCCTACAAAAATGCAATATCCTCATATGTTCCACTCATTAAATCATTTTGTTATTTACACTCAAGGTAGCCACAACTGTACTGGGGTCACTAAAATTTTTGCTACTCTGAAATTCAGTCCCTGTGGAATGTTATAGCCTGTTGAATGGTTTCTCGGAAAATCGTCATAAATCCTCAAATCTGACGTCTTTTAAATAAACAAATACACTGTGATGTAGCTGAAAATCTGCAAATTCTTATCATATAATCCGTTTTTCTGAATAATTTGTGAAACACATGAGGAAACAGCTGTGATGGTGATCCAAGTAATTTCCATCCCCATATTTTATTGGCATTGCACAAATATTTGGAATTTAAGGTTAATATTCGGTGTAAATATGATCTATTATATATGATTTAAAAAATGCCCCCAAAATGAACAGTTTGACTTTCCTAATTTGCATAATGAGTGCGCGAATATATAATTAGCTGAATTGACCTAATTTGCATATTTGATGAATATTCAGGATTTTTTTAAATTTTAAATGAAATATATTTCCATACCTGTCTGATATACATAGGTTTCACTGATGTACCATGTTCGGTTTTGATTTGATTACATATGCGCATATTAATTAGGCGGACATAGTTATTTTCACAACTTTTTTATATCTGCAGATTCGCAAAAGTGGCAAAAATGACAAAAATGACTTATGTTGTTGGCTTCTGTTTTAAAAATGGTAATAGATATATGCATTTTTTTTGGTATTTTTTACCACAAAGATGATATTTTAGTGTCTGATAATTTAATTTATTATTTGTGTCCAAGAAAGTGATGAATTAAGTTGTCAACTTTGTCGAATATGCCATTTTTGCCAATTTGACCATTTCTGGCAGGTTTTTCGGTAATTTTGCGATATCAAAAAAATGGTATAAAATCACAACGCATTGACCGATTTCAATTCTGTTTTTTGTTTTTTGAAGCTTTTATAAAGATTGATCATTTGCAACCATCATATAACATGTGTTTGTTGTAATTATTTTTGTTGTGCTATACCTACTATTAAACGCAAATTATTTCTCAAGTGGACTTAGCCTTTAAGTGGTAGTCAATTCAATTTGTAATTGTTAATTTTTTTTTAAAGAGAACCACCTTGTAACCAAGTGAGTCAAACATATGTAACTTTATGATTTTTCTTTGTTATTTTGACTTTATCCAATAATGTATATAACAACAAAAAAAGTTCGCCAAATACCTCGTTTGTCAATCGTACCAACTTGTGGACGAGTATTGTAAGTCAACTCGAGCATGACGTATGAGGTCTTATATAATTTCAGGAAAACAAAGAGAGCTGCTCCTGTTGAGCGAATAACAAATTGCTTGAATTATACAATATTTCCCGATCCCCATGGGAATGTACAGGAATGAGTGAAGGCCAGTGACGTTTTAAAAGGCAATACATTAATGCTTAGCTTATGTCAATGTCAATTTTCATTGCGTGAAGTACAAAGATAAACGGAATAGCGTGAAAGAAAGAGGGGTGGAATGATAAAGAGATAGAGAGAGGGGGAGATAGAGAGAGAGAGAGAGAGTGCATGTTTGTGTGAGAGTGTTTGTCTGTGCTCTTACGTGCGTGTGAGTGTGCATTTGTGCGTGCGTGTGAGTGTGCATATGTGCGTGCGTGTGAGTGTACATATGTGCATGCGTGTGTGTGTGCGAGAAAGAGAGATAGAGAGAGAGATTGAGAGGGTACAAGAGAGAACGATAGATAAAGATATAAGCATGATAAATACATGTAGAGAGAGATAGAGAGTGAGAAGGTGAGAGGAAGAAAATGCAGAAAGGCGAAAAGCGTATTTACTTTCTTTACATGATCACATATTCACATAGCAAGCCTGGTTCGAATATGATGCTGCACTTTTCTTGTCTAGCTACCAGCGCCGTAGCAGTTTAGATACCGGTATGTATCATCGCATAAGACACTCTGTTAAAAAAAAAAGATAATTTGCAATTGAATTCTTAGAGAGGAGTTGGAATTCCAAATTATTTATCTCCAAGTCTGCCTGTCCAGGTAAGGGAGTCAGCTATTATTCTTTTTCTTATCCTATTAATAATTTATTCGTTCACATAAGCTTCATTTTGTATATTATAACACGAACGCAAAATATTTCGAGATATCAACCAAATATTTTTCTTTAATAATTATTATGATAATTGTATATATTTTCTATATTTGTGTACTTTTTTTCATTTCTGTCTATTTTGTATACATACTTTTTATCGAGTAATTGGAAATAAATACGAAATTCGTTGTATAGTTGTATATTTGCTTATCAACGATTACCGTTAACGGTGGGAATGAAGACGAAAATAATTCAAATCAAAATTAAATCAAATAGCCTTTTGTGTCACCTTTTGGAATGTGCGGACATTAAAATGACGTATTATGTATTAACCTGATAAAATTTGATTTCTATGGTATATACAATAGAGTATTGATATACCCCTGAGTTGATTTCTCGAAAGTCTTTGCCATCGTGTTCTAAATACGTTATGAAAGATGGAGGTTGTAAGAAAATTAGCAATTCTGAAAATTTAGTGTGACCAATTCAATCATGTTATATAAGTTCATTAAGGAATAATTTGTTTTAAAGATGTATTCACAATCCTATTTCAAGTCTGACATTATTATATGAGATTTGTAAGAAATCGGTGACATTTCTTAAATAGAGCAAGTAAACTTTACTGGATTGAATATTCAAAGCCAGTTTCATCTGTTTGTAGCCAAAAGTGGCTTTAACTCGGTGTTATATCATATGAGTAAAAAAAAATTGTGACTCCAGAAACAGATATATTTTGTTGTAAAGATGTAGAAAACGGACCTTGGTGTAAAATAACCACTTATATTTAGACCTGATCGGTTCAGTCAAAGCTTTATAATCCAGCATTTTTTAGTTTAATGAAACATTAAAAAGTTATATAGACATAACAATGATCGATTATATGTTGCTGAAAAGGTATCAACGTGGTATTT